TCAGTGGCCAAATGCAGTTCCTGCCGCGGCGGATCCTTCGTCCTTTGACGCACTGTTAGTTGGACGTACTTCTATCAAACGGAACTATGTGCATTAAGACATGAGCCCTGAGACCCATAAGAATATGTGCATAACAGGGCTCACGCCATAATGCACATAGGTCCGTTTGATCGAAATACGTCCAGTTTGTAATCACTTTTAGTAATGTCCAGGGAAACACCAATTCGTCTAAGGCAAACTTTCAAGCTAGCTTACAAGAATCTCTTACGCTTGGTCCTTTCGAGCACCTATATATTGATGGTGAAACTGCAAAAATGCGTAACTTGGTTGCGGTGTTTCGAAATATCTGCTCCTACTTTACTTTTTAAAGGAAGACCGAATCAACATCATGATTTGAAATATCCATAGAATATTCTTTATAAAAAGAGGAAAAATCACTACGATTTTCCGACAATGACGATCAGAAGGTTTCTATGTAGAAAATAAAGTATGACAGGAAGTCTGCAACGCGGCAAACCGAGATAAGCATTTCTGCAGTTTTACCATCGATATCGTCGTTTCCTAAACTTATAAATCCATTCTCTTGCAAAATAAACCAAAAAAATTCAATGTTTTACGAGGGTAAGACAATGGAAATTTTGACAACATTTTTGCTGAATTTTGTAGTAGATCAGAGGAAAAATTAGTAAAGTTTTCGGTTAAAATCGCAAAATTGTTTCCGAATGTAAATATTTACGAGTGACCATGAGACGACTTTGCCGCATTCATCGTCCTTACAACTAATTCATTAGAATGTGGGCTGCGAATATTACTTGCTATGTGGAATCCGCAGCCCACATTTTAGGACGGCAACGTTGTCACATATTCAATCGATCAAAGCATCATTCCGAAAATTGACAATGTCGCGATCAAAATAAATATTAGTTTACTTTATCGGCACATTCGGCAACGCTAGAACTAAGTTATAGTGCAAGAGAAACAAACAGAGCGCTCTCAGTTAGTGTCGAATGCGACGAATACTCATTCGAACTCCTGCATGCAACTATTCGAACTCCATGGATGTCCGTGTTGCATACGCACGGAGATGAAGGCGTTTTGATTGTCCAGGCTCCAGACGGACGAATACTCATTCGAACTCCTGCATGCAACTATTCGATCTCCATGGATGTCCGTGTTGCATACGCACGAAGATGAAGGCGTTTTGACTGTCCAGGCTCCATGCTGACGAATACTCATTCGAACTCCTGCATGCAACTATTCGAACTCCATGGATGTCCGTGTTGCATACGCACGGAGATGAAGGCGTTTTGACTGTCCAGGCTCCAGGCACTCAGTGCTTCACTCGCGGCGCAGTGCTGACGTCGGACTTTACTGCGAGGATCCAAAATGGCAGAGCACTTTCAATTCTTCGTTTATACTACTAAGAAATTCTTTGGGCACACTTAGTTGCATATAGCGCAGGACATGTGTATCTTTTGTGCTTCAGTTTCGACATCACAATGTGCTAAGCATGATTTGTAGAACAATTATTTGTGCCTAAGAGATTTCTTCGAAGTATGAATGGAAAATTGAAGGCACTCCGTCATTTTAATTCCTCTCAATAAAGCCCGCCGCACAGTGAACGAGCTTTTTCAGAGAGGTTTGACATGGAATTTTCGACTAAAACTGCAAATTTGATGATAAATTCATTACATTTTTAAATTGTACCAATGAGGTTCCTCTTAAAGGGAATTTTATGAAAAAATCAATTAAACTAATTCTATCACCTCTACATTCCATGCTATCACATCGATATGAGCTTTAATGTATCCACATTTTGCCCGATTCCTCTCATTGACTAGCTCCACTAAGCGACGCTGATGAGGCGCCTAGTGTCTGAAGTTAAAACGCCTTCAGTTCAGTGAGTATGCAACACGGGCATCCATGAAGCTCGAATAGTTGCATCCAAGTTGTGTTAATATAATTCGTTTAGTATCCGTCGCGTGCGACAATAACTGAAGTTTCAATTGTCCCCAAAGTTGTTAAATTAATCCCAGTGTTGCCTATTGTGCCCTTCATCGCTAAATGTCGCGAGACATGCATTACTTAAAGGTATTACAATGCTGCCGGCCCTCAAAATTGCATAAAAATCAAGTCCTTGAGCATGATACGTAGAGTTTTCTTTAACCTACTATGATGAGTCGTCCTTTGTTGGAATTTTAATTGTTTTTTCCCCCTTTGAGCAAACTAATTTTGACGTTTGAATGCGAAATTTTTTAACGTGATATCACAGGCTTAAATACATGTATATGATTTCCTAGGTGCATTAGCGAAACGATAGCACAATTAAGTCGAATTAATGTATCAATAAAAATTATGAATTATTTTATGTTCTGCTCTTTCCCTCCTGAAATAAGGGCTGTGTCAAGTTCCTTTTCAAACGACTAGGCTCTCACTCAAGTCTTTTTGAAACTGCTGGATTTTGTTATCGAATGGAATCCTTTCCACAGAAAATATATTTGAGAGTTTTTTCTAATTCAAAACATCACTCTTCAAATGAAAAATGGCACCTTATAAAATATATATTTTTGATGCGATCTTGCGGCTCCGCAGGATTTTTTTAATTTTACTTTTTTGTCGAACTATGAGAGCAGAAGATGGTCCAGTTTAAGCGGCGAATTCCATCTGGCCGGACAATGGATCCCACATAGATAGGTCGGCGGATGGACAGGTAGGCGGCGACCTTTACTCCACAGGAATCCGCCGTGTTGCAAAATCAGTTTAATAGTTCCATTTATTTTCAAGCGGCTTTCGACGAAATAATGTGTAAAGATTCTAATCACGATCAATATCCAATTTGAGTTACATTATTAGCCTTAAAATTTTGCTTTGACCAAAGAATATGGTAAATAAGTACTGAAACACTTAAAACACGAAATGCCAACAATCTTGATCTATTTTAGTTTAAACTCTTTTAGCTGCATGATTGTGAGCAAAAAAACGTTCAAAATAGGTGTACCACGATGGAGAGTCTATACCTATACTTTCAAGCATAAGCAACTCAAAAAATTTCCAAAATTGAAAAAGTCTAAATTTTATAATTTAAAGAAAAATTGCCAAATTAACTGTATGTTCAACTGCAAAAGTGCAAACACAAGCCAATTTTTTCGAAAGTCCAAGTACCAAATAAGTGCAACAGCAGAGGAAATAAAATGCATGTCCAAACTAATAGAGAAAGAGTTGAAACGGGAATTTTACCTCCACAAAGCAACATTCAATTCAGCTTTGTTTGTCAATCCATGACCACACTTAATACTGCAACATATTTGCACTCTCGTTGATTTCTTTAATTAATTATATGTAATTATTTTAATCCTTCAATTTGACCCGCCAGTTTGTGAGCAATTGGGCATTTGAAAAAAATGCTTTTTTTGCAGCTACTATGAGCACATGTGATTGTTGTTATTTTTGTTGTTGGGTCGTTAATCTTTGCGGACACAATCTACTTTTTGAACTCCTTTTTTTCTTGCTTTCTTTCTTCCTTTAGATGCTAAAGCACCGCTTTAAAATAGAATTATTTTACTACTACTACTACTTTCTTTCTTTGACACACAGTCCCTCTAAAAATGGTGAAACGAAAAATTCCAATACAGATATATGTTCAAATTGTTTGCAGAAAATTACTCATTTTTCAGATAATATTCGGCGATGTCAGGGGTCATACGGAGTTCTTCTATTTAGTATGGCATCTTTGGCGAATTCGACAAAGCGACAATGTTTTCCCCCATTTAAACTTATTAAAATATATCGATTCTTGAAGGGGCTGGAGGCTCTGACAAGAATCGATTATATAACATAGGTTTAAATGGAGGAAATCCGGTGTTTCCAAATTGCTGGATCCGCCTCTGTATGACACGGCTGATTAATCCGATGCCACTGAATCCATGAAAACCAGATGAGCGTTTGATGGGAATCCCTGACCAATCCGTTGGCGGGACTAGCGATTGTGAGCCGAATGCAAATATTGCATTAATGACTGCAATAAATGCTCCGTATGTTGCTATGCGAGGTAGTTACTCCTATTAAGGCGAGAGGATTCCAGCAATATCGATGACAACATTTTCCCTCCTTTCGTGGAAGGTCAAAGTCGTGGTACTGGTGCCACGGATAAACCTCCGGTCAGCACGACTTTTGCGCTTCACATTTTGAAAGCTTTTGAGAGAACTTTGAAAGCTCTCCCATCTTCACGTGCGGACATTTATGGTATAATGAATAAAGGAGCTAACACCTCATTGTTATTTTAGGTCAGTAGCTGTGCTGTACTTCCATTATTCTTTGCTCACAGTGCAAGAATGCATTACAATGCGATGTTGTCACGACTAGACAGCAAATTCAGCGATATTTTCCGGATAATGAGACTACATTCATCTCGTAAATTCTGATTTTACCGATGATGCAGGGTTCTAGAAACGCATCATACCTACCCTACCGTGCCAAGGAAAAACGCCGTATGAACCTTCAGACGTTGTCAAATTTCTTTGGATATATCGCGAATACCCGAGAAAATTTGTAACTTTTTTTCTTCCAATTTTTCACATAATTTTGATCACAATAACAGCTCTCAAGGTCTCAAAATTTGAGATTTTGAGAACTGCAGGTCCAATGTTCGGGATTTTCACTTGAGCTCCCGCAAATAGCTGACGATTCCACAGACCACAAAACCTGTATTGTCCCCAGCCGCGCTGCAGTGTATAACGCCGGATGAACCTCCGGATATTGCTAAATTTATTATTTTAAAATCCGAATTTTCTAGAGCACTCGTTACATTTTTAGAAAATTGGCTTTACAATTTCATCTCGTGTGTGCGATGATATCAAGGAAACATCATCATAATATTTCTCAAAAACACATTATACTGGAGGAAGTTTAACAGGATTTGGACGATCATACGGCGTTATCCCTCAGCACCCAAGTGCAACTTTACTCAACCAAAACCCAGGATACCGAAAATCGGGACGAACCTTTATTTCTTCCCTGGAGACCTTCGTGAACATCCAGTTATCCGTGGAAAAGGCGATGGCCAGTAAGGCCGTGGCGATGATAGCACTGATCGTGGCCAACGATAAAGTAACCGCTGAGCACGGCATGGTGGCAAACTATTCGGAATAAAACGGACGCGGAAAAACCAAAACACAGCCGCGGAACGCACAGAATCACAACAGAATCACTTCACAAACCACATCGAGGCTCACAAGTCGAGGGAAATCACCAGTGGAAAATCCGTGCTGGGCTATCTATGCATTTTAGGAATAGACTGGGGATAGTCGCGGCGCGACGAGATACGGACACCTGTTGCGCGGCGAAGGCTCAGGTAAGACTGGGACCGGCTCGTAGCGTCTCCACCGGTTTCCCTCTCTCGGCCTCCTCCGGCGCACAATGGGGCGCATCAGTGAGAGACATTGGACATCATGTAGAAACTTCACTGAAAAAAAATCTCGGTGTATTTACTAAGAAAAGGGTAAAATTACCAAGAATTCAGGGTTCTATTTGGACCGCGTTTAACAGAAAGGAACCAAGCCACATCAGCTATTGCCAAATTTAATTGGGCAATTTAATTTTTTACGTGAAAACGGTTGTGCGGATTTTCGTGCAAATTACAGTGAAAATTCTCCATGGTACGAAGCAAATTCCTTAACATTTTCAAAGAAATCCGAACAAACGTTCTCTCGTAAAAAATGTTATTTTCCAGTTAAACTTGGCAATAGCTGATGTGGCTTGGTTCCTTCCTGTTAAACTCGGTCCATTTGATCCCAGTTTTTTCTTGGTAAAATTACCATTTATGGAATTGGTAATTTTACCGAGATATCTCGGTAAAATTATTGAACTTCCTCGGTAATTTTACTGGACCTTGGTAAAAACGCCGATATTTTTTATCGACTGTGGTAGAATTACCGAGATAAAATGGCAAAGTTACCGGGAACTGATTACCAATAAAAGTGGTATTCTTATACCTGGAAAAAACAGTAACAATATCGATTTTTAGGTAAGCTTACCAGTCTGTCTTGGTAAAATTACCAATAATTGGTAAAAAAAAGAAAGTGAGATGGTAAAGGTACCAACGGACCTTGGTAGAAACGCCGAGAATTTTTTTTCAGTGAATTCAAACCCTTTATATCTTCATTGATACAAACCTAGAGAGTTCATCAATGGTTCCATTAATTTTATCGTAAAACTTTCTTTTAATAGTACCCCTTGTAATGTATAATTTGACGAAATAAACGTCAAAATTTGCAGTTCTATTAAAAAAAAAAATTGTGTTTGATTTCTGTTCGTGGCTCGCCCCTTTGTGCGGCGGAGGGCCCCCTTCCCGCGCTTCCAGCGCTCCCCGCTCATTATACACATTCCTCAACCAGTTCCTCCACCTGTGCCGCCGGGATACGCGCGGGACACGGGATTCGATACAGGATGACATACTATCGATGGGTACCCTACCTTTTGAGTTTTGCCTCCTTGGTGATACTTCCCTTTCTGTCGTGCTGAGAAAAAGCGTAAGAGCGGAAACGTGTTGCCGAGTCTCCCCAAGTAGCAGCAGTGGCGTGGCGTGCTTTGCGATACATCGATTGTTATGCCATTTAAACCTATGGAAAAGGATCGATAAACAGGGTGTTCGCAGCGAATACCTTAATAATCGATTCTTTACCATGGGTTTAAATGGCATAACAATCAATATATCGCAATTCACGCCACGCCACTGAGTAGCAGGGATCGCAATAAGTTGCGATTCTATCGAAGAATGTATCGCGATTTTATCGACGTCGATCTATTGCAATATTATCGGATAAGAAATTGCGATTAAGTGCTGCGATTTTATCGCATAATTTGCAATAAAATTTGTTGATTTGTTGACGGCGATTCATCGCAATACCATCGAACAAAAACTTGTGATGAATTGAGCTACAATTTCGATTTCTTCGAATGCGATTTTTTCGAGCGCGATTTTTTCGAATGCGATTTTATAGAGATAATACAATTGTGACGAGATCGAGGGATCGGGCAGATGTTGATGATCCTTGCGATTTTATCGCCAAAAAATCGCATAATAATATATCGCAACATAATTTCAAAATATCGAGATTTTTTCGTTGAACAATGCTACTTGGGTCCTTGATGATTCATGTGGGAAAACTTGGATTGTTTTTCTATGGGTATATTTGATTTAATCAAAATTATCTGAAAATTTGGAAGAAATTATCGATTTCCGTTCTACATAAATTTTGATGGTGGATTTGGCACCAATATGGTAGTTTTCCCTGAACGCAGCAAAAAGGTCATACTCTCTTACAATAGAAAAAAACCGTGTGTGAACATTCAAATGTTACTAAACTTCCCCTAATAATTTTTTTTCTTAAAACTGTTTATCTGATACCATTTTTCCTATACATTTTCTCATATAATAGATGAAATTGTGACAAAATGTCTGGAAAAATGATCAGAAAAACATCCACAAGTTGTCATGTATATCGTATACCCACGGCAGCTGTTTTCCTAAAAATGGGCGTAATTCCTTTTGGCAAAATGGCAAATTGGGATTTTACATTGAATCAAAAGGAACTAAGCGGCGAAACGCATGCAAACTCATGAGCCGTGTGTATTTGACAAGAACGTTGTGGACAGGACTCATGAGTAAAGATCCGCGACATCGTCGCAGCTCGCAGGTCCCGGTCGTCAACGCTGACGTCAGTGGTGCTTTATAATTCCCATTCATTCTCACGGTCCTCAACTCGCGAGCACACTCCTACTTTTCCAAACATTTCTTCTTCCTTTTAGCATAAATACGTCCAATTTTTAAATAGCTTTTCCTCGATTCTGCTTTGTTTGCTGCAAGTACCAAACTGCCGTAACGAACCGTAGCGTTAGTTGTCAAAAAAGATTCGTAAAACACTTATCTATGCTGTGGTATCAATTGGCCTGTTGCAAACTTTTACTAAAGCAAACATAAGAGTTATTTCTCATGGAAAGTGTCTCAAGAATCACGATAAGCGTATTGGCAAAGTGTGAAATGCACTCCTTATTTCACAATTTGCATAAGAAATTTGCGCTTTTTCGAGTTTCCCGCCTCAAAAACGATACCACGGCACAGGTGAACATTCCGTTAGAGGAGTCATTCCATCCAACCCCTGCTCATAAATATACTACGCAATACTCAACATAGCCGACGCCAATCCGCCAAAACACATGTGCGACGGGACGATAATGCTAACCACCTGATAACAATCGGCGTGTTTACATTCACATTTTTCTCGCGTTGATAGATATCCGCCTATGATTTCGTGCTCTCCTCAACTTGCGCGTGGAAGCGTCGGCCATGTTGAGCAGGGATTGAATGGAACGACTTCTCTAACGAAATGTTCACCTATGCTATAGTATCCTTTTAGAAGCGGGAATCATAAAAAAACGCAAATTTCTAACGCAGGATGTGAAATTAGGAGTGAATTTCAGAGTTTGCCGATGCGCTCATTGTAATTTTTGAGACATTATCTATGAGGGACAACTCTTATTTTTGCTCTAGCAAAAGTTTGCAACAGGACCATTGAAAAAAGTAGAGCTTTTATGTACTAGGCCATCGGCTGTAAGGTCAAAACTTCATTTTAACAGTGGCGTGGCGTGAATTGCGATCTATCGATTGTTTTGCCATTTAAACCTATGGTAAAGAATCGTTTATTAAGGGCTTCGCTGCGAACACCCTGTTTATCGATCCTTTTCCATAGGTTTAAATGGCATAAAAATCGATATATCGCAATCCACGCCACGCCACTTCATTTTAATATGAGCTCCGGAGAGCATAGAGTTATGCCGATTCTTAAAATCATCACAAAATATAGTGACGCTTTTACATTGGAGGACGATGTGTGAGCAGATAAATCTGGATTTACCTCACCTGGCGACCCTATCAGAATCCACGATGATCCTTTATTTGCTTTAAAATTTAGTTCGATCTGGAAATACAAATTTTTAGTACCGCGTGAATCACCTCATAACAATGTACTATTAAACTTAATAAAAGAGCCGTAAATTTCCCAGTCATGAGATAATGGTGATGTTTACGATTTTTTTGAAAAATCGTAAAATACACAGGGATTCGTTCAAATCCAACATTTGCTCAAAATTAGCGCAGATAATCAACCGAGCATCACGATTTGTATGCTAAACTCCTTCGTTTTTTCAGTTTCTATCTCGAATCGGGGGAAAATACATGCTAGACTAAACTGGAGGTAATATTTTAATTTCAACGATGCATTGCATCAATTGCCGTCTCCTCAACGATAAAATGTCTGAGATATGATAACTTGAACATAATTGATAGGAAAGAATATGATTGAGCACCAAACCAAAACGATCAGTTTTACGAAAGTAAAAAACGCCTTCAATATCAGCTGGTGCAATTTGTCCGTCGTCACTGAAAAATACAGCATTCCTGTTCAATATGTTGTATGCTTTCAAATTGAAGGCGATTTTTCCTCGCAACGGACTCCAGGACTGACAGCGCTCCGCAAGTTTGGTGCGACGAGGCGACGACGCAGAATTGGTTTCAATCGGTCCTTATCCTTATTGGTTACGAAACAAAACTTGTTTTCATTGCAAAAACTATTTTATTCGTCTTATATATAAATGAACAGTACTCTATAATCAAGTTCCAAAAGAGAAAAGAGAGGAAAATTGAGGTCCATGCATTGGTCGGTGTTTCTGTGGGAAAGTCGCACACACAACCGCTAAAACAATGTTTTGTCATAAGGTTTCGCTTTGGACAGATTTGAAGGAAATTCAAAAAAGAGGGCACTTTTTTGACAAACTCTTTGATCAAGCTCCATCCAGGGGAATAGACATGAAGGCATGAACATACGTAACGGAATTTAATATAGACCAGGTTAATTGTAAGACTAATTGTATAATTTGAGAAAAAAGACGTGAAATATAAATGAGGAAAAGAAATCCGAGGAAAATGTAAAAAGAAGGAAATAAAATGAAAAAACTAACAAACTACTAGGACGATACTTTAAAGAAGAAAACGAGAGCCAATGAAAGGAAGCGTACAATAAATAAATAAAACGGAAAGGAGAAGATGCAAACAAAGAAGTTAGGAAGAATAAAACAATATGACGGAAGATATGAGAAAAAAGAAAAATCATGAAGAAAGAAGGGAAGTAGGGGAAATAGAGGAAGAAAAGGAAAAGCTGAGAAAGAATAAAAAGAGCAAGAAAAACCGCATAACAATTTTTCTCAATCCTGAGAAAACTGATGAAAATGTCCACTTTCGCGTGTAGGTCTAAAGGTTTACCGTTCATAATTTGGTCTCTAACGAAACGAT